GTAGCCCTGAAGACGACCTGCAAAGTGGGTCGAAACGTCGACAAAAATTAAAATAATTAATATATTTTAATTTTTTATTTATTTGACCGCACCCTCGACCAACTCCTTCTCATATTATATCAACGGTCAACCATCTCTACATCATTGTAAATTTATTTAATTCAACATTTACGGAAATTAACCAAAGATAAATAAAATTAAATCAATCCTGTCAGATATTCTTCCCAAGTCCTTTCTGAAGACTCGTATTGTTTGTAAATTATTGTATTGTTTAAAATGTGCATCATCATTTTCTATGCTTAAGTAATTTTACATATACTTAAAGTTTTGCTTTACTCAGATTTCCTATTTGAGATTTTTTTTTTACTTTCACTTACACATGAATGAAATATATAGGAAGGGAAAGTATTGCGATCGTGAAACATTTCGAATCCGAGATTAACGGAATTATATGTTTCAAAGCACTAATCCAAATAGCCAAGTCTCGCCAAAAAAAAAAAACTGTCTGTGTGTTTGTATGTTCAAAAACGAAAAGTTGTACGAAACCGAAATTACGTAATTGAATTAGGAATACTCTTAGCATGTCAAAGAAGAATTTTCGTCAAAATTGACTGACTGAAAATGGTACTTTATTTACAGATTTTCAAACAGCTCTAATGATTTTCGTTAAACTCGTAATATCAATAAACTTATATTAAATAACTTATTAAACTCGTAATGTCGATTAAGACTTCATCATTACTCTTGTGGAAGACTTGGTCCGCACCAGATATTCCTCGTTTAATTCTAAGCTCTTTGGCCACACTAATCCTCTAGTTTGTAACCTTCTATCCAATACAATTCCTGATAACCCTCTGATGCGTTCTGAAAAGAAGATGGCCAAGGGACCAAATTAATTTATCTTTAAAGTGCTACCAATGGGTAGGCTTCATCACAAGTACTTTCATGTTATATATTCCTATAGCAGATTTACTAGTTGTATAGGTGTTTACAGTTGTAAATTTCAATAAAATAAAAAAAATAAAAAAATAAACTTGTAAAGAGAAGGATGGTTGGGGTGTCCAGTCAAATTGAAATGGTAAAAAATAAATAATTTTATTTATTTTTACATTCGCCAACGTTTCGGCCAGAAGTTCAGGACTTCATCAGGGCTGGGAAAAAAACCAGATAATAAAATTGAATAGACATTAAATAATACAGAATTAAGATTAAAAAAGGGTGATAGGAAAAGACTAATAATTTTTAGTAGAACAACTTAACGTACAATGAAGTAGATAGAATGAAATTAAAGTAAAACAAAGAAGGTAGAATGATAACAGTAATAGAGAACTAAGAAATAAATAATAATAACTGAAACAAAGCACGGACCAATGAAATAAGCATAATAAAATATAAGGTAACATGAGAAATGAAAATGGTAATCTAGAATAAAGTGTAAAACAGAGAAAAGAAATATGAAGTTATATAAGAAAATAACAGATATAAATAGAACATTAAGATATTGTAAAATCTATCAAAAATATAATGTAAAAAAATGTATGAGGATGTATCATATATAGAAAATATAGATGGAGATATGGAAAATAGAGATTGAGATATGGAAAATAGAATGGCGGGAAGGCCGAAGAAAAGGAGAATAAAATAATAAAAATAAACAAACCTGCTGTGAAAGAAGTAAAGTCAGACAAACGAATATATTAAAATAAAATAAACTTTTGTATTATTGATTGGGATATAAACGTTTCCAAAGAAATATATGGAATTTCCACAGAAAATATATGGAAACATATTTATTTTTTCATCAAAAACATTTCTTTTTTCATCAAAAACATATAATTGTTATAATTTATATTCATTGTTCTAAGTTTTTATTTATAATCGGAATAATGTTCTTATGATTTATTAAGTTAAACTGGTATGATGTAAACTAGGATATTATGGTGAGGATTTCAACATTACATTCCACTTTTTGCGAAGTGGTTTATGTTTGTATATAAATTAATTTTCGTATAATTAATTGAAGAAATTTGTTATCCGTTCTTGAAAAAAAAAAAACCTTAATACAACAAACAAATAATAAAAAAAAAAAAAAATATCGCATCAGAATGACATTGCGATATTGATTGCATCTGTTTTATGACACAATCTCAGATGTTGAAATAATTGGGAAAATCGTTTATTCAGTAAATGATAAAATTTTTTTCTCTTTAATGTTTAACCTTGGTATGATTATTGTGACTTATTCTTGGATGAGATTTTTTCCCGGTCCATATCATTGAATTCCACTAATAATCAATCATGCTCAAGCAATGTATGCAATTAGTGTTAAAATATTCAGACCATTAATTTTTTTTTTTTTTGCTATTTTATCATATATATATAACAAAATAATTTTTATTGATTTTGATTGAAAAAATCTGGTGCTCACTGGTGTTCAACCGACTTTCACTTACCACCCTCTTCTTAGCAAAAATAAGTATTTTCAGACAAAGGGGAAGTAAAAATAAAAATTATTGACGGTACTTATTTACAATTCATTGTGGATATTTGTGTTTGTTTAATTATCCTTATGGATACAAATTTTAATTTTTATATCGCAGTAATCTATACAATTAAATATAAAATAATACCACCGATAGCATTTATGAAAACCATATTTTGTATATGTACATAATATTTTCGGAGTCTGTATGATATTAAGCTCATGTTACGTATGGAAGACTGTTATAATAATCTTTCGGGCGAGATCGGACACGCTCGTATTCCTTTGGTTCCTCCATTTCAACCATTATCCGTTACGATATTTTATTTCTCCTTTAGTTAATTATCGAATTCTTTCATATTTTATATTTAACTATTTTTTTTTTTATTAAAAAGGTTAATTATTTCTAATAAAAAAAATTAAAGGTGCTCTAGAGGAAGCTAATATTGAAAAATAGCCATTTAAGCCCCGTTAGAAAACATCAATGAGAATAAAATTTGCATTATTTTAAAAACCGCTTAATAATACACCGATATACTGAGTTTAATCCAAACCGTTAAAGCCGTTTTTTAGAAAATCGTAAAAATGTGTTAAATCGATTATATAAAATGCCACTTCCGGCAAGTCGATTTTGACAAAAAAGTTGCTATAACATCCAATGTATGTACATACCTGAAATATGAAATTTCACTTTCATACTACTTTTAGTTTTTGAGCTAGACTGATCACATACATACGCACACACAGAGACCAGTTTGTGGGACTTAATAGTTTATTCGAAACGTTATTTGGACTCAATAGACCACAAAACATGTATTTCCGTTTAAAACTCAGATTCAAAAATTTTCACAATCGCAATACTTAACCTTAATATATATTGCATACATAGGTAAGTGAAAGTAAAAAAGTTTCTACAAACAATAATCCAATTATTCGCTGAAAAGTAAGAAATATAAGTTTTGTGTTTTTTTAAGCTATGTAAGTGACGTTTTTGTTCCTATTATCTTAATGAAAAAGTAGATATTAGGATTAGGAACATTTAGTTGGTGATTTCATACGATAAGTATCAACTCTCATGATAGAGATGTGTGTAAAAACTCTTGTGTGTTACGATTTTTTAGTAAAAAAAAAATAATTAAAAGGCTATAGCAGACTTCATGAGCTACAAAAAAGTTTATAAAAGCAATGGTCTGATTTTCCGCAGGAAAGTAGGAAATTAAAGTTTTGTCATTTTTGCTAAATAGGAAGCGATAACAAAAAAAATGTTTAATTGAAGCAATTAAGAATTCCTTCATAGTAAACTCAACAACGGTTGTGACAATTTTCATTTAATCGTCCTCGATTTTGTTAAAATACCAATTAGAAAGAAGAAAGGAATTTTTATATTAAAACATAAACTTGACTAAGTATAAATTCTAAAATTTTGTCCAAATTACAAGTACAAATGGTACAAAGTACAATGGTTATCTCATAGAAGCAAATTAGAAAAAAAAAAAAAAAGAAGGAAATATCTCAACCGACCTCACTCACTCCAAGGCAGTTGTGACAGTGCTTGGAATCGGCAGTGACAGATTAAAAAATATAAATAGTCTAAAATCACTTTTATGTTCTTATATAACATTACAGAACAATTTAATAGCTTATAACTAATAAGGCATAGACATTTGTGTATGAACCAACTTTCGGTATTCCTCGAACGTTTTCTGGGTATCTAAAAGAAAAACAAAATTTACTTGTGTCACAGCCTTACCCACAAAATATCTCAGGACCGTACCCAACGAATTGCTTTGAAAAAAAAAAACAGTCGCTTTGACAATATGAAATTGTCTTTTTATAAAGTAACTGCTAATCAACAACTAATGTTTCACTTATAACGAGGAAAAACATTCATTAATCTTCCTCCACATATATTACAACAATAATTCAAAGAAATAGAATAAAAATAGTTACTCTTGTCTGTTAAGAAATAATGAAGGCCTCAACTAGCGTTAACAATACTTTTAAATATGTTCAGACACTTTTACAACCGTAGCCGGTCTCCTCTATCTTATAAATTTTATATATTTTACAACGTATTTTATAATATAAAGGAAGGAGATGGTCCGGGGTGGTGGTCATAAATAGACTAATTAGTGGCAAAACTATTTTATTAAAAGCCAACGTTTCGATCCGACTTTGCAGGTCTTCTTCAGGGCTAGAACGGACAAGATACAAACAGATATAGAGAAATATGGAAGCTACATAATATTTAGACAAATAAAATGTATAAAAAATGTGAATAAGCTTATTAAAATTATAAACAGTAAGTAAATTAAAATATAAACAGAGTAAGCTAAGTAAAAAGATCCTAAACTGAAGTACATAGATGGTAACAATTGTTGCAGTGTAATATATAATATATGCAAATGTGAATATACTTCTACAGATATACAGGAGAGATTGAAAGAAAAAGGAAAAAGGATATAATATGAAATAATAGACATAAAGGAATATGGAGAAAGAAAAGAAAAAAGAAAGCAAAAAAATAAATAAATAATAAGTAAATAAAATGAGAAGAATAAAAATAGAGAATTCAAGTGTGTTCAGCTAGGAGTTTCACTTAGAACTGGAACATTATGGTAAGGGTAGGCATTGGGAAATTTTCTGACCTGTTTAGGTTAATGGGAAAAAAATAGAAAATTAAAGTATCTAACATTTGAAGATATGCATGGATACAAGGAAAAAATACTATATCTATAAAAAAAATAAATTATAAATATATACATATACATATAAAATAGAATTAAGAGATTATAGATAAGAGTACAATGTGAATAAAAACCCTATAAAATAAACCCTATGTGATAAAAACCCCGGACCATCTCCTTCCTTTATAATGCAACGGTCAACTATTCAATATTCAATATTTTATATTTTATTTTAATTTTATATTTTATAAATTCACATATTGTAATCATACATAGTGCCTTTATCCTATGCGCCGGAAACATTAGGAAAAGTTTAAGTAAAATGATAATAGCATTTAATGAATGGGATAAGATTGGGTGATAAAACACCATACATAAAGAAGTCGTTTCGACATCAGTTTATCCTGTGTAATATAATATAGTTGTTACCTGCACAGTTTATTCAAATTTTTGTGTTATTTTTTAGTAAATTATTCCGAAGTATTTGTGGGGTTGGCCCCATTGATAAAATATTGGGGGGGGGGAGCACATAGTGGCTCTGCCCCCTTCCCCTCGGTGCCGTCGCCATTAGCCTTTAAGCATTTGGATAAGTGAATGAAAATTGATAATAGGAAATAAACGTCAATACACAAGAATACAATATATAAAAGAAATACCATCAATGAATAAATAAGAAAAACAAATAAAAATAACTAAGTAAATAAATAATGTAAATTAACAAAAAATATCTTTGTTTTTATTTTGACTAAACCATTTATTGAAATAATCATGATAAGTTACATATAATACTATGTTTACTTTTAAGTGCAATGTAAAATATTTATTTTTCCAGAAACTATTCATTAACCTTAACCTATGGAGCGTGTTATTGTTTTGTTTTTTAACACTGTTTTTAATATTCGAATCAAACGGTAATACTCCTGTCGTAGAAAGAAATGCCATTATTCTGCAACAATGGAAAATATCAGGCAATGATGAGCTGTAAGGTTTACGTACATAGTGTTTTATTTTTCTAATAACCTATGGGAGTCCAACAATGGATTCGGAAACAATCACCCATGATTTAAATAGATGCGACTTTGAGGAATCCATTTCATAATACAATCTAGTAACAGAACGCTTTATCTCTGTTATAAAAAGGAATTTATCAGAGTGTGACTGCTTATCATTTTTCTATGTCACTAATTGGTCCATAATTACATAAATTAATGATTGTTAGGTAAACAAAAAAGAAAAGAAGAAATGACCCACGAGTCAAGTGTGATAGGAGCCCATAAACGCCAGTGGAGGACAAAACCTGCTTCTGAACGGAGATGCCGGATTACAAAATGGAAGATGAACTCTTTCAATTCTTTGGTGGGTACGCATAACACTTATTACCCAAATGATCATTTGATCAGTTTGAATCGTGGGTACCAACTATAAAACATTGATATGATGAGTTTTAGTTAGTGTTGCCCAAATGCGAGACCAAGACGAGTTTTGGTCTTGCGCAAGAGTCTCGCGACTGCCTTGCAGTTACCTACTAGCCTATCACTATAAAAACATTACTGTAATTTTCAGATAGGAGAAACCTAACTAAGCCCGAATAAAAAAATGGAAGAGTTAAATGCAAAAGTATATTGGTTTTACCAATGCTTTACATATAGTAACTATATGTAATTATCAAGTATTAGTAACTATTTTGCCTTAATTTTTATTCACAAAACGACTTTTTTTCAGGCGGTATTGGTCTTGGACTTGCAAAGTCCAAGACCAAGACCGATTTTGGGCAACACTAGTTTTAGAGATGTTATTTTAGATATCGAGATATCTCTTTTGATAATATTGTGCAATACGATTTTGATATCTTTTCATTTTATATCTTTCATAGTGGTGAAAGAAGTAGAAGAGTAATTAATTGAACCTCATTTTGTCCATAAAATCTTGGTCATTCTTATAGAAGAGAAGATATATAGTAATGAAATGGTATATAACAAGAATACTACGCATAGGTACCCATAAAGCGGTCACATGACAAAAGAATCGCCATCAAAATTTTGAAGGGGCCACATTTTTACTGGGAAATGTATTTTTGAGGTGGGCGAATATTTACAGGGTTATGAATTTGCAGAAAGAACCACATTTTTGTGAGGTTACAATTAAAAAAAAAATTTAAACCAAGGAGAATATTAAAAAACTAAACGAGAATTGTTATAATTTTACTTTGGTCTTCTGATGAAGACCTAGAAATGTTTCATAGTCATAGAATATAATATGCATATCTGTGCTACGGGCTTGAAATTTCAGTACCAGTAAAATTGTCTTAATTTTTTTTTCTTACCCATCAACTTTTGCATTTCCACCATGTGTCTTAAAAAATCAAATAAAGTATGTTTTGTTAAAATAATTAAATTTAAAAGGTGTCTTATTCGGTTTAGCAACGCCGTATTATACTGTTGCTTTCTAAAATAATTTAGCTATTTTTTTTTTCTTTTCATATTCCCCCTATTGCCTCTGAAATCTTAAAGCAGTGTATAACTCACATCCCTCAGTTTAATTTACAATTTGTTGAAAGATTATTGTTTTGACTTTTTTCTCCTATATATCACTTAATTTACTTATTTTTCTTCCATTGGCTCAACACACCATTACTGCGGTGATTATGGTCCCTACCCTTGTCTATAACCACCGCCAGTCTATACACTTCGGGCAGTAGTCCTCCAATCCCTAACCCCCAGGATTCTCCGGGCATCTTACGTTACGTCTGAAGACATGGTCTTTCTCTACGTCTGGTGCTATGAACGGTCTCTTTTATTCTTTTTCTGGTAATCTCATTATCTAGCATTCGAGCTGCATGATCAGCCCACCTCAATCTTATCTGTTTTATATGCTTTACACTGGCAGGTTCATCGTGGATGTTTTATATTTCTTGAATACCTCTCCTGAGGTATGTTTGACCGACTCTCCTAGATTCATAAATAGTCTGATCAATGTCTTTAATAGCCGCAATATCAAATAGGCTTTGACAGATATTTAGTCCTTAGATGGCTTCCTAGCCCAAAGTTACATCGGTTAGCAATAACTTTAACTTACATATACTTAATTTAGAATTTTTGGAATACCTAAGGCAAAAAAAAATAAGATATTTTTAAATAAGACGTCTTGAGAAACGGAAACAAAAAATTGAAATTTTCTTTTGTGGGTCATAACCTCTCAAAGTTGTATGACGCGTACCTAAATAGAACTAAACTCAAGATATGTTTTAGTTAAGCCTTTTTTTTTACATAAATGAGTCATATAAAGTTTATTAAAAATTTTAATCACTTAAAGGATTAAAAATGACTGCATTCATATTCTTGGTTAATAAAAATTGAGCCACTCCATATAGTTGGTAACGGTATTTTTTTTTTCTTAGGGAAAACACCATAACCAAATTATTTAATTATATAATTGTATTTTAAAATTAAGAAGCATATAGCACCCTAGAATACTGAAAATCTTAAAGATAACATTAAGTTATGTTCACTCTTCAAACAAATTAAACCTCATAGGTGTTGTCACAGGAGCTAATGCAAGTCATGAGATGAGAAAAAATAGACACCTGATCGAGGTGCAAAGTCTAAATCGTTGGGAAACGGTTTTTATGATGATTCATAGCAAGATTATTTATCAATACTTCAATGGTGACTCAATATTCTCAAAGGTGCCAAGAAGGGATTTGCAAGTTGCGACATCAAATTCGTTGATGGAGGGCATATTTTGAAGGGGTTATGAATTTTTGGAGGGAACCATGATTTTGTAGGGTTTCAATACGCAGGAGCTTTCAAACCAGGATACAAGGAAACATGGGATATATCACAATTGTAATTGTATGTAAACTACAATTTTTATAATTCTATTTCCGCTTGCATATTTTTTAAGTAGAAGAGAACAATGATATTGTTTGGGAGGATTGATCTTGGGAGGGGATGTGCACACCTGCATATTCTTAATTAACATGCAGTCTACGTAGTTTATCATGTATTCGTAGTTTATTATATATTGTATATTGTAACATTATTTTATAGATCTGTGCTTGCTAATTCTAAAATTCAAATAATTGAGCTTTTTGATTTTTAATGGTTTATTGATTGAAAATGTATTGTTGCTAACATTTTTTATTTTATTTTTTATTAGGAGTTTCCTTAACCTAAAGTGATTGGATGGCTCCTTTCCATAATGCCCTATCTAAGGTCCATTCTTCCCATTGATCATGACCCATCATGGATTCCTCCACTTCGTTATCCCAGGTCTTCCTCGTCTTCTTCTTTCTCTAGTTTTCCATAAGTGGACTTCTTTGGGTAGTCTTCCTTCAGGCATTCTTTTTAAATGTCCATACCACTTCAGGCGTTTTCCTCAATCTCTTCCAGAATGGTTCTTTTAGCCTCCATCTTTTCTCTGATGGTCGTGTTTCTTATTTTAACCATTCTGGATATTCCTGCCGCTCATCTCCAGTAGTCCATTTCGGTGGCTAGAAGTTTCTGCCTAAGGTTGCTTTTTATGTTTTAAGTTTCTGACCCATAATGCTCAGTACTATACTATTGTAGATTTTTTTTTGTTTTGGGGATAATGTTCCGGTTCCTTAATACCGAGTTGAGCATTGATATGGTCCTTTTGCTATCTGTTTTTTTCTTTTTATTTCCACATCAAATGCACCATCTATTTTAATTATGGAACCAAAAAATTTAAAATGTTTAATTCTTTTTAGAACCCGTCCTGAATTCAGTTCTATATCCCCAATATTAGATGTCATATGTTCCGTTTTCTCTGCATTAATACAAAATACATATTTAATGAAATTAAAATTCAGGAAATTTATACTCTCAATTGGAATCATTTAAAAGTATCCTAATTATAGTAAAGAAATCAGGTAGTTTGAGAAGTAATTGTATCAGAACCTATCGTTATCGTTAACATAAGAATAATATCTGTAAAACTGATTTAAGGATGAAACAAAATCGTCAGGAATTTCAGTCGAAATTTCTTTAATGAATTAGGTAGCCTTTCGGCAAACATCACCAGGGCTAAAAATTAAAAATATAAAATAACATCAGAAAAATGATAAATATAAAAGTGTATGAATAATAAGAGTGAAGAATAACGGTAACAATTTAATATTAATAAGAAGTGATTTAAGTGATTTTTTAAGTCCTATTAAATGTAATTACACGAAAAATAATACCTTCTTATTTTTCTTTGTTTATTAGGAAGCTTACGTTTATAATTTTTTCATATTTAAGGCAATAAAAGTTCCAATTTTCTTCATATTTTTTTAATTATGTTTGTTCTCTCTTACGTTTCGGGACAATTTTCCCATCATCAGAGCAATCTTTATTTTTGCTTTCTTTTTTTAATGTGGCACCATTTGTCAAAAATTAAATATTGTCACATTTTTTAAAAACTATTTTTTGGTGTTATACATATTCATTGATACACTCTGATGATGGGAAAATTGTCCCGAAACGTAAGAGACAACAAAAATAATTTAAAAAATGTGAAGAAAATTGGAAGTTTTATTGCCTTAAATATGAAAAAAAAGAAAAATAATACTTTTTTTAATAAGAAATGGTAAACAAATATTTCTTTAATAAGACATGGTAATATTTTACCATTTTGGGGGAGGAGATTCAGGCCGAAAGCCGTCCCCTCCCCCCGTAGATCCATCTGTGGACTTAGTTAAGAGATAGATAAGAGGGTACCACGTTGTCCTGACAAAAAAAACGTAATAATTTATATGTGCAGGAATGAATTGAATCTAAAAGCATACCTGACATTGAAGGAATTACAGACAATAACTTTAAAAGCAATATTATCACATTATCAATTATGTATTTGGTTATAATTGGAAAACACAACCTCACAGAATTGTGTCTTTTAAATACAGATAAAGAACAAAATAACTCGTCAACGTTTCACAAATTCAGGCATCTTCAGAACAAAAAAAAACAAGATCACATCACTCTATGACATCCAATAAAAACTAAGGATGGCCAAAGATAGTCAAAATTATTGATATCTTCCTTTCCGGTATCAGATATTTTACCATGGATAGTATCTATCATCGATATTTCAATTTAAAAATTAAAACTATCTTTTTCGGAAAGCGGTAGGAATTATATATGAATCTGATAGAAAAAAAATCATCTTGCCTGTATCATATAGAATGCAGTGCGTAGTAGAGGAAAATATAGATATTTCGATGATATCGATGACCATCGCTTAGTAGAGTTGAATAGCACGCATGGTACCACTTTAAATCAGTAAACTCAATTTTATTAGTTAGAACCTTCTCAAACCAAAACCACGAATAGTCAAAGAAATCTATGTAGGATGCA